GGGGGAGAGAGAGAGAGAGAGAGAGAAACATCCATTGGTTGTCTCCCATATGTACCCTGACTAGGGATCGAACCTGCAACCTGGGCATATGCTCTGACTGGGAATTGAACCGGTGACTTTTTGGTGCATGGGAAGATGCTCAACTAACCAGCCAGCGCATGTTGCCATTTCTAAATACAAAAAAGTAAAAATACTAACATTACCCATTTCCCAAGATTTTGCTTTTCAACCCCTCTTCTTCTAACTACTCCTTCCCTCAAAGAATCTCAAATCTCAAAGCTCCAAAATACAAACTTTTTTCTTCTTCTAAGAGGCCTTGTCTTTTATTATTTTATTTTTAAAAATATATTTTTATTGATTTCAGAGAGGAAGGGAGAGGGAGACAGATATAGAAACATCAATGATGAGAGAGAATCATCGATTGGCTGCCTCCTGCACGCCCCCTACTGGGGATTGAGCCCGCAACCCAGGCATGTGCCTTTGACCGGAATCGAACCATCCACTGAGCCAAACCAGCCAGGGCAGAGGCCTTGTCTTTTAGATATATACTGAAGGAACTATGGAGGAGATGCTACAATGTTTGGAGTTTGCTCAGGAGGAAAAATGGGTGGAAGGAAAGAATAGCAAGACTGCTGATGGGCTTGTAACTGTCAAAGCTGGTGGACAGCATGGGCTCACTGTACTGTCGTCTGCATTTCCGTGTGTGCTTGAACCCAACCTCCTCCACTTTAGACCCCACACCTGTCCCATATCTGACCTCCAACCCCACCCTTCCTCAACCTACTGAAGTGACGCGACTGTCTTTCCCTTCTCTCACAGCTTTGCATCATTTTCACTTCAAAATCAGTCTTCCTTCTTTCCCACTTACAGCCTCTCTATTTCAATTAATGGCACTGCCCTTCTTCCCTCAAGTCAGTTTCAAATCTCCAACACCAAGAGGTAAAAAAACACACAGAACTATCTTATTTATTTCCCAAGGCTGCTGTGAGGTGGGCCTCACTCCAGTTCCTGTATATTCCAAGATGTGGGCAAACTGGTTGTCCTACCATCCCCTCCATAACTCAGAGAGAGCAATCTTTCCAGACTCTGTCCACTCCCATCTCAACCTACTGTCTTTTCTCTTAGACCCAGCTCCAGCCCTTTCTCCTAAATAAAGCCTTCCTCAGCTACTCAAACCCACACTGATCTCTTTCTTTTAAGTCTTGAGTTTCTATGTTTTGAGGTCTTTCATCAGAAATCCTTTAATTGTAGAAAATAAGCTTTATACAAGTCTCTCTCCCACAATGTCAAGAACTTTGCCAGGTCCAAAATACGTGTTCAATAACTACCAGCTGAATTCAAAAGCCAGCAATTTTAGCTGAGATCAGAATTAATGTTATTAACCTGTGGAAAGAAGAGATTGAGAGTCTGATTTTTAGTCCCTGCTCCATGCCAGGCATTGTACTCTGTACTTCACCTGTGATATACGTTTAATCCTCAAAACAACTCTCTGAGGAAGATACTATTATTAACCCCTACTTCAAAGATGAGGAAACTAAGCCTCAGAGAGAGTAAGAAACTCGCCAAGGTCACAGAGTGAGTAGGAGAGCCAGGAACAAGACCCAGGTTTCCCTGACTGAGAACCCCAGCTCTTTCTGCCACCGCACTCTGCCTCAGCAAAGAGGAGCACAGTCCTCTCCCTTCACTTCCTGCCCTTACCTTGTGTGTGTCCTCATGGACTTCTTTATTGAAACGCTTCATCAGTCTCCGAAGAGCGGTCTCAAACTCCATTTGTATTTTTTCACTGTAATGCATATTGAAAAATCCAAGAATGAACTGGGAAATTGAAACCTGACTTCATTCCCCCAGTCAATTTCTTTAACTTTTTAATCGCATGTGATTCACTCTTCTTGTTTTCCTGCACAAGACTGTGCTACACAAGTAATTTTTAAAAAAGCTACCTATTTCCTGCTTCTTCTCACCTTTCTCACCTACAAATCATAGCTTAGGACAGTCTCTACCCAGACTGACCTCCTCTCAACCTGCACCAAATCATGCCTCATAAACATGAGTCAAAGTTCTCCTCCTCCAGGAAGTCTTCTCTGACTGCCTGACCTTCCAACTACCGATTCCAGCCTTAGCAACCACCACTGCCTTTATATTCAATTAATGTACACTCATTTGTATTTTACCGTTCTGATGTAAAATCTCTTTCATGTCTGTGTCCCATACATTTTTAAGATGCTTCTTAAGCCCTGACCGGGTTGGCTCAGTGGTTGGAGTGTCAGCCCAGGGACCATAGGATCGTGGGTTCGATTCCCTGGCAGGGACATGTATCTTGATTGGGAGTGGGTTGGGGAGGCAGCCAATCAATGTGTCTCTCTCAGTGTTTCTCTTTCTCTCTCTCCCCCTCCTCCCTTCCACTCTTGTCTGAAAATCAATGGAAAAAATATCCTCAGGTGAGGATTAAAAAACACTCACAAAAACGATGCTTCTTGAATGACTTTTATTATCTTCCTTAGGCATGGCAAATAATGTGCCCATCATACAGTGGAACTCATGAACCAGTAAACTACCAGATGTTGTGCTCCATATTTCCAAGCCACCAGAAGCTACAGGGGTACTGGGTATATTGGGATGAAATGGGGGCTCCCCACCATGGTGGGGCACTGCTTTAAGACCTGCAGAGTCATGTGGTGGGAAAAGCATAACTTGCAGGTCAGCCTGCCAGGGATTTAGATCTTGGCTCATCCACTTCCGGTTGAGTGACTCCTGAAATGATATTTAACCTCTCTGAGCCTCTGACTCCTCATTCATATACTGTTCTAGAGATTAAGTAATATAAGACAACACCTTGGCATACAGAAGCTGGTCAATATATAGGCGTATCCTCTCCCTGTTCCCTGCCCCAGCCAGGATAAAAAGGTTCCTCACTCAAGCCTTAAGGTTGAGCCCAGGGTTCTCTCACCCAAGCCTCCTGACCACTTTGATACTCAGCCCTGGTCTCCTATGTATTTCTCAGAAGTTTTCATTAGTTGCCAATGGCATGTGATAGGAATGCAGAAGCAAGTGCCTAACCTTACCTTCTTTGTCTTGCTTTTGCCTGCTCCGGTGTTTCAATCTCTATCTCCACTGGCTTCACAGGTAGAACAGATTGAGAGAAGGTTGCATTTTCTGCCCCATCATCTGGCACGAGCTCACTGAGTTCTATCAACAGTAATTTTAAAAAACCAATTAATAGCAATTATATTAACAGCCACTCTACTGAACAAAATCAAGGTTCTGCTAGGAAGGAGGAAGTGAGGAATGGATGTGAGGTGGAGAACTCACAGAGATAACTACTCCTTCCATGCTTTGAATACCTAAAAAAACCAACAACAACAAACAAAACAAAACAATAAAACGCCAGCACTGCGCTGTTTTACATTTATTTATCTCATTCAACCCACACAGAAGAAAAGGAAACTAAGGCTAAAAGACATTGACTTGAATTAGATACAGACCCTTGCTATCAAGGAGCTGATGCTCATGTGTGTTTTAGTAGATACTTTTTTTTTTTTTTAGCCAAATTAGAACAATTTTCTTTTTATTACTACATAGTATGCAGTACAATTTGCTTTGTATGTAGTGATGATTTCAGTGTTTTTCAGTCTTAGTTGTAAACTTATAATGACAAAAAACACATCTTTTTCATCTCTTTATCCCCTACATGGCTAGTAAACACTAGCTGAAATAAAACTGAATTTGCTGAACTGGATCTAACTGTGAACTTTGTTGACAAAGGGCTCTTATAAAGGAGCTTTAGGCCTAGAAGCAATAACACCCGTTCAGCAATGAAAACATCTAATGCCAAGATTTTGGTTTCTATTTACCAGTCCTCACTAAAATGAACCAGGGCTTTTTGGAGGAAAAAAATGTTGATTGCAGGTCTGGAAAGTATAAAATGAGCCTGGAACAGTTTGTACCAGAAAGCATAAATGTTTTAAAAAACTAATGGGGTCATGCCAAAAAAGACATGACCCCATGTCTAGCTAGCTTAAAGGGGCTTCCACCAGGCAAATTTGGGACAATCTGAAGCTCAAGTATAATGATGATAACTGGTAATATATGTATTAAAAAAAAATTTCCAAGTTCATAGTGATACTCAGAGTAAATTACTAAGTAATTACAATTCCTGAAAGGGAGGTAAGATTAGGCACTTGCTAAATAAATACAATTCCTTTACAGATCAGTCAGCTAATAAATGTGCATAAAGTGATAGAATCAGATTATTACCATTGTGTAATCCTCAATATAATAATTTTTGATCCAGTCAAGATCATTAATACATGCTAAAACCATTAAGTAAAAAATTATTAGGGAACAAGATATTCACGAAGAATCGGAGTACAACCCCAGAAAGTTCATTACAAAGGGAAAATGCACCTTTACATTGGCACAATCTGGCAGTACCAACTTACATGATCAACCTTGGCATCACTAGAAGGACAACCTGACAGTAGGTGTCTCTTAATGCACGAAAAAGCATCACCCTAGGAAGTATTCTTGGGGGAAAAAATAGTTTAATCTAAATTCAATCAAGTCTTTGAACTTAATTTACAACTTATAAGAAATACCTGGAAGCCCTAGCCGGTTTGGCTCAATGGATAGAGTGTAGGCCCGTGGACTGAAGGGTCCTGGGTTCAAGTCCGTCAAGGGCACGTACCTCGGTTGTAGGCCCCATGCCCGGCCCTGGTCCAGTTGCAACCAATTGATGTGTCTTTCACTTTGATGTTTCTCTCTCTCTGTCTCTCTCTCTCCCTCCCTTCCACTCTCTCTAAAAAAATCAATAAGGAGGATTAACAAAAAAAAACAACAAAAAAAAACACACACACACAAAAAAGGAAAGAAATACACAGCATACTGAAACAACTGTAACAACATCATGAGATGTTTGATTATTTATCAGACAGAACCTGAAACATTCTAAAAAACAAGAGACCAGGACACTAAAAAAAAGCTGTGCTATGAAAAACAAAACAACAATAAAAAACAGTGGGTGGGGGTATTGTTCTAGAATAAAAGAGACAACCAATATAAGGCTTATACCTTGAATAGATCCTGGATTAGAAAAAAAGGGGGGGGGAGACAGCTATAAAGGGTATTTGTTTTTTAATTTAAAAAAAAATCCACCAGAGGATATTTTTCCCATTGATCTTGAGAATGGAAGGAGGCAGGGAGGGTAAAACTCCACTGACAGCAAAGGAAGAGAATATAGGGTGTCCCCCCAAAATGTATATACACTCTAACGGCTGATAGCATTTTGAAAATGATTACATTTTGATTACAAATGATTACATGATTACATTTTGAAAATGAAATATATTTTAATAAACACCGCCTTCATAATTATTCAAAGTGTGTATACTTTTTTTGGGACACCCTGTATATAACCTGCTCTAGGTAATCTGGTGTTGAATTTTTCATATCAAAAGCAAGTTCCTATTGCAACCTTATCTTCAGTCTTATTAGTTTCACAAGAAAAAAACAGGACTGCAAATAAGTGACATGATTCTAAACAGAATCAAACAGAAAAACAGGATCAGACAATTCTGAAAACAAAGAAAGATGCTTTACCTTCTACCTCTTCCCAATCATCTTCACTTTCCTCCTCATCGTCGTCTCCTTCATGGCTGTCTTTGTCCACAGCAAACTCTCTCTTTGGATGGTATGCCTTCTTGCAGGCACTTGTAAAGTCTCTGTGTAAAGGCCACAGGAAGGAAGATGAAGAAGGCACAAACATCCCGGTATTACATTTAAACTAAACGGAATTTTAAGGACACCTTCTATTTATTGAAAATTGGTTGCAATTATTTAAAGTTCATTTGTGAGCTCTGAGCCTCATTTTCTCCATCAGCATGAGTCTCAAGTTCTCATCAAGATGTGCTCTGATCATTAGTCTAATACTAAATTGTGCTGTCAGAGAAAATACTATAAACCTACAGCCTAGAGCTGTGTGAAGGACAACATAGTGATGTCAGGAAATGGCATAGAAAAAACTAGGAGAAACCACAATAATAATGTGAGTGCTAGAAGTAAAAGCTGTGATACCTGTGTACATACAGTTCGGCACCAGAAAGAAAAGGGAATTCACATTTGCTGATCCTAAGATGGCCCAACTCAGAAGACTCCCAACTCCTGCCCCTCCCTCCCTTTAAGAAATATGATGTGCCCTGTCCAGTATGGCTCAATGTTTAGAGTGTCGGCCTGCACACCGAAGGGTCGGGGGTTTGATTCCCGGTCAAGGGCACATACCTGGGTTGCAGGTTCAAACCCAGCCCTATTCGGGGTGCGTGAGGGAGGCAACCAATTGACGTGTCTCTCTCACATTGATGTTTCTCTTTCTCCCCCTCCCTTCCTTTCACTCTCTCTAAAAATCAATGGAAAATAACAATGGAAAAAAATATCCTTGGGTGAGGATTAACAACAACAACAAGAAAGAAATATGATGTAAGGAGATTAAAGTTGAAGTCTAACTTCAAGAAAAGTGGGAATGTGACTATACACAGGTATGTCATAAATACTAACATAAACCCGAATACCTAGCTAGTTAAATAGCTACACAGGTAAGTAGCTAGCTACATATCAATTCAAGACTAAATGGTTGCTAATGTGTAATACAGATCTTCCTCAACTTATGATGGGGTTACTTCCCAATAAACCCACCCTAAGTTGAAAAGACCTTAAGCCTGTAGATGGCGTCTGATCTGCATCTTCAAGGTGGAAGAAAGCATTTTAGGTAGAAGGAGAATATGAGCACAACTCAGAGATAGCCAAGTATGAGCATGTGCCGTGTGCAGTCCAGCTGGGCAGGAGTCGAGTGTGCTTGAGGAGAGTAGTACGAAAGAAAGCTGGAATGGCAGGTAAATACTTTTTATATGTAATATCTTTGTATAGTAGAAAGAACACAGGATCAGGAGTCAAAAGACCTAAGTCTTATCCTGGTTTTTGCCATGAGCTAGCTGTGTAACCATGAAGAAATAACTTTCTGCAAGCTATCATTGTTCTCACCTGAAAAGTTTGGGAGGTAAGTATATAATCGCTACATTCTTTCTAGCTTCTACTAGTAGTCTGAGCTCTATCTAGAAGAGCTTAAAGATCCAGTCTTTTCCATGGATCCTAGTGACAAGCAAAAAGAGCAGGTTTTATTAATCACGTTTCTCCGACAGGAGCAATCAAGACCTCTCACCTGAAATCTTCCCCATCACTGAAGACTTCATCCTTTTTAACCTTGAGGTTTTCAGATTTAACAGTCACCTTGGCCACCTTCTTTTTCACTGGACCATCTGGTGAGCCCCCAGGATCATGGCAACCCCTCTTCCTCTTTCCTTGTGAGACTTTTGAGAGCAGACTCTTCTTTGGGGGTTTCTCATCTTCAAAGACATCTAGATGCCCACATGCAACAGGAAAGGGACAATAGAAAGGTGGATGCAGAGTGGTTTCAGGGTCATGAAAACTCCTCTTCTGTAACCTCCTTCCAAGCCATATCTCCATCCCCAGCTCATCATGTCACATTTCGTCAACAACCAGCTTTCAGCCTCTTCCCACCTTCAGTCCAGTCTACACTCTGCTCACAGTAAAAACCATTTTCCTTTATTAGCATTTTAGTCTACTCTTCCTAAGACTACAGACAGGCCATCATATCTAACTTTCAAATCTTAAGTTTCTGCTTATATCCAGTAAGAAAAATCCATGGATCCATTGATTAACCCCTTGCTTATTTACTACCTGCCAAGATGATTTATTTTAGGGATAATCCACTTCTACTATGTGACATATTTATAGTTCATAGACATAATAGTTTTGCCACAACCTTATTTCTATTAATATGTATTTCCACCATCTTTCAAAATCAAACTCTGTTCAAAACACATACTTTATGAAATCTTTCCAAATGGCACTTGGTATACTAACCATCTCAGCAAGCTTAGGGTTAGGAGAGAGAGATATCTTTACTTTCTTAAGATAATTATATTTTTGGTAAAGGGAAATATAAAAATGCATAAGCTGTTGGTTTTAGTTAAATTAGGGTATCTAAAACTATGATTAACATAGAAAATATATAAATACATTAATTTTTAATAATAAATAATTAATGCCCTAACCGGTTTGGCTCAGTGGATAGAGCGTCGGCCTGCAGACTCAGGGGTCCCAGGTTCGATTCCGGTCAAGGGCATGTACCTTGGTTGCGGGCACATACCCAGTGGGGAGTGTGCAGGAGGCAGGTGATCGATGCTTCTCTCCCATCGATGTTTCTAACTCTCTATCCCTCTCCCTTCCTCTCTGGAAAGAATCAATAAAATATATTTTTATCTATTCATGAAAATAATCTTGAATATAAAATAAATCATTTTTCAGCCTTTGCATGACTCTGCTTGAACTAATTTTGGAAAACAAAAATACTCTAGCCTGTATTGAGGTTCCAAAGGAGCTGCAATATTAACATAAAATATCAAATGAATTCATTCCTTTCATTTATGATTTGTCCTGATGACTCTCTTGGGGTATTTATATACCTCAAGAATACTTTGGCATGGGAAGAAGACTCCCTTTTGATCTAAATAAAGTCATAACTTAATTTTAATAAATTTCACATTATAGGGGCACTTAATATATATAATTGATTTCAGAGAGGAAGGAAGAGGGAGAGAGAGATAGAAACATCCATGATGAGAGACAATCATGGACCGGCTGCCTCCTGCAAGTTCCCCACTGGGGATCAAGCCCACAACCTGGGCATGTGCTCTTGACCGGAATCGAACCTGGGACCTTTCAGTTCGAAGGCCGATGCTCTATCCACTGAGCCAAACTGGCTAGGGCTAGGGGCATTTGTTTTAATGCTTGATAAAATTAATGGTTCAGTTCGGTTTCTTTCAAATGTTTTATAGAAGGAATTTATGTATTCTCTTGGTTTAAACATTTCAATGGAAACAAAATATTTCAAAATTAGTTATTTATAATCTAGAAACAGATTTCTTATTCCAAGGCCAGAGGCTGATTAAAGGTTTATAACTTGACAGTTTGAGTAGGGTGCCCTTAAAATTACGATTTCCGTATCTTACAATGGTCTTTAGCCCTCTATCAATAAGCAAAGACGTAAAATAGTTCATTTTTACTGATCTAAAAACGCAGGTGGCAGGATACTTCAGAGGTACCATTTCTTTCTCACCAAATTTATTTGGTTGGTTAAAAGGCACAGCTGTATACTTCTGTGCTTTGAAGAGAGTAAAAGAGTTAAAAAAGATGAAAAGGAAACAAAAAACTGAATTTTAAAAATGTTCATGGTATTATTATTCATAGCATGAAAAAATTTTAAAAATCCAAATGTCCAACCATGAGATGATCATTAATTCCAGTATAGTAACACAATAAAATATAATTCAGTCATCTTTTAAGACAAAGGAAAATGATTTAGGATAAAATGTTAGGCATGCAAAGTTGTTTTTATAGTATGGCTTCTACTATACAAAACAGCACAGACTAAAAGGAAATATACCATTATTTATAAAGTGGTGGTTATTTCTGCATGGTAGAAATATAGATGATTTTTTCTTTATTCTTTGCTGTTTTTTTGGTCCTAGAGAATCTAGCAGAGTGGTTCTCAACCTTCTGCCTTTAAATACAGTTCCTCATGTTGTGACCCAACCATAAAATTATTTTTGTTGCTACTTCATAACTGTAATGTTGCTACTGTTATGAATCGTAATGTAAATATCTGATATGCAGGATGGTCTTAGGCGACCCCTGTGAAAGGGTCGTTCGACCACCAAAGGGGTCGCGACCTACAGGTTGAGAACTGCTGATCTAGAGGCTATTTTCCAGGACTTTGCACGATCGAGGGCTATCTAATATGGATAACCAGCCTCCTTGAGCTCAATATCATATGAATTCAAAAATAGTTATTTAGAAAGAAATCTTGATCGCTCGTGTACACCACACAGTTGGCACACAGTGGTTATTTCAGCAGGGCAGGAATTACCACTGTGGTTTGCTTGGCCATCTATTGAGATTTAATAAGAACACCTGCTTAATCCACCAGCGGCATCTCAAAGCACTTAGAATAAAACACAAACTCCCTAGCTTGGTCTCTAAACTAAGGGCTCTGCCCACCTCTCTCAGCTCAATTCCCCACTCACTGTTCCAGCTAACTGGCCAAGCTCATTCCCCCTAAGAGTCTTTGAACGTTCCCTCTGCCTGGATCTCTTTCCTCTCAGAACTTCCTATGAATGGCTCCTTCAGGACATCCAATAACTGGCTCACAGAAACCTTCCCTGACCAGTGATTCTGATTTAGCTGCTTCTTCCCCAGCCTCATGCCAGTTTTATGACAGTAAGCTGTTTTACTTTCTTCATAGCTCTTATTACCATGTGAATTTATTTTTTTAATATATATTTTTAAATTTATTTTTTGAGAGAGAGAAACAGCAAAGTGAGAGCATCAATCAGCTGCCTCCTGCACACCCGCTACCTGGGACTGAGGGATTAAGCCCCAACCCAGGCATGTGCCCTAACAGGAAACTGAACCAGCAACCTATGGTGCACAGGAAGATGCCCAACCGAGCCACACTGGCAAGGGCTTATTTTTAACTTTTTATTGTCTGTCCTTTCTACCCCTACCCAAAGATTGTAAGCACCACAAGAGCAAGAACTCTGCCTGTCCTGTTCATTACTATAATTTCATTGTATGCACTGAGGTGCTGTTAAAACCTGCACTATTGTACTATTAGAAACAACAGTCACCACATTAGCGTCACCTGCAGCCCAAACCACAACTGTTCCTCTACCCAACCACAGAAAAGATTCTAGCTCTTCCTGAAAAAGATTCTAGCAGATCCTGAAAGCTGCTTTGGACACTTATTGCTAGCTCCTCTGGGTAACAGAGTCTGAGTTAAGCTCAGGTGCATCCTTACCTACATTTAGACTGAACTGATATGAGCTAGCCCAACTGACTACCTAACATGGACCATGCCAGGAACTTTATATGCTATCTCACTGAAAAATCACAACCTCCCTGCAAGGCAGTATTATGTTTCACAGACCAGTATTAATTGTTCAAAATAATTTACCCAAGTGCACATAACAACTGAGTGTGGGAGCTATACCAAGCTGGTGCCAGGGGAAGTGTTAGCTGGAAGAAATGCTTGCCACATATTCAGAATACATTCCCCTCTGGCTAGAATACAACCCCCCCTCTCAAGCCTCTTGCTAAAATATTACCCATCCTTAAAAGCACAGATCAAACAACTCCTTCAGAGAGCATTTCCCAATATTTTCAGTCAAACTTGATTATTCCTTCGGAAGCCACAAAGCCCTACATCTACTCCCATGATATCACACTTTGCCTTGGATATTTTTTGTAAATGTCAACACTACTATACTTTAAGCTCCTCAAAGAAATATCTCCCATGTCACTTAGCTCGTGTACACCACACAGTTGGTACTCAGAAAATATTCAAATGTTATTTGAATAAGTAGTAAATGAATGAAATGGAACTCATAGCAAATCACCTTTTAAGTTTAAAAACTGTTAGCATTTGACTACTTCCCAATAGATGAAGAACTTGACAATATATAAAGAATCACAGAATTGTTGAATCTTGTGTCACAGGAGCCCCTGCTGGTTACCTAGTCTAATCTATTACCCGGTTTTTTCAGGAGTCCCTCTACAGCAGGGGTGGGGAATATCCAGCCTGCGAAATCATTTGGTCTGGCCCTGCCAAGGCATTAGGGGTGAGTTAATTAAATGTCTGACCAAATATAGCAGGCTAATTTTTCAGTTGATAATTCTGTATGGCCCTCGAATGATATTATAAACATCCAAATAGCCCTTGGCAGAAAAAAGGTTCCCTACCCCTGCTCTACAGCATGCAGTTTGCGATTATTAAAAATATTTATTGAATGCCCTGGCTGGGTAGCTGAGTTGGTTGGAGCATCATCCTGATAAGCCACGGTTGCAGGTTTGATTCCCCAGTCAGGGCATATACAAGAATAAACCAATGAATGCATAAATAAGTGGGAAAACTAATCAATGTTTTTCAAATTGATGTTTCTCTCTCTCTCCCCACCTTCCTCTCTCTAAACTCAATTAAAAAAATTAAAAATATATATTTATTGAGCACTTAGTATATGCAGGGAGAGGCAAAAGAGGATACAGCAAAAAATAAAATGCTTTCATGAAGCTTAAATTTTAGTAAGATGGGCAAACAAAAAGAAAGCAAATAAATTAACAAGATCATTACAGTTTGTGGCAGAGGCTGTGAGGGCCTCTGTGACAGGGAGAACCTGGTATCTGAGTTGAGACCTGAAGGAGTAGAAGAATCAGCCATGGCAAGAGCCATGGAACAACATTCTAGGCAGAAGGAACATCAAAGACAAAGGTTCGGGGTTAAGAAATAACATGGCATGTTTGAAACACAGAGGCCAGTAAGGAGAGTATCTGTCAAAGAAAAGAGGGGCAGGAGGCAACAGGTAGGTAGCGACAGCCCAATCATGTAAGGTCTTGTAAGCCATGATGAGGAATTTTGAGTTTTACGCCAAGAGCAATGGAAAGACACAGGGAGTTTGAAGTAGATCGTGTTATGATCTGATGTGTTTTTTTTTAAGATCACTTGGGCTCCTGGGTAAACTATTGCAGGGGGAGGGGAAGGGAAGTAGGGAGACCAGTAAAGCGGCAACTGATGGCTTGGGCAGGGTCTGTGGCATGAGAATAAAGAGAAGTGGGGAGGACTGAGATATAGCTCTGAGACTGAACTGACAGGGCTTGCTGACGGCTTGGAGTGGGTGAAGGTATCATTGACTGCGGTGGGAAAAAGTGGAGAAGAGAGAAGCTGAAAGAAGAAAACCAAGCGTTTTTGCTTTGCCCACGACAAACACTTGATATCATCGTGCAAATCAGGCTGGATCCGAATCTTGTACTCTGGGGTGAGATTCGGCTGACGATGTTATTCTGGGAGTCAGCACGCTACAGCGCTCCATGTCCCGGGCCACCGTCTTCGGGGGACACACAGTAACTGCAATGCCTTTTCCCTATCTAGCCCTTTGCATCTACCAGGAGGATGAACTTTGTCCTGTGAGTGTAGAGTCTGTAGACAAACAGGGAGCAAAAAAGAGGCTGCGCGGGGGAGCTCGTGGTGAGGCTGAGTTTCAGGGGAACCGCTCGGGGTGCATCACTCCTCGCGTGAGGACAAAGGCAGAGCGACGTCCGGGAGGACCCAGGCTGCTGCGCAATCACTGGCCCCGGGAACGTCGCTCCGTGGCGCAGATGGGCGCGGAGCAGCCTCCGCCCCCCACCTCCAAGGGGCCGACCTCCCCGCTCCCGCACCCGGGCCTGCTTCCGGATCTTCTTCAGCATCTCCCCCTAAGTCCAGCTTGGCCTCGCTCTCACCTGCCTCCTTCTCCTCGCCCTTGGCTTTCTGGCCGCGTGGCTCGCGTCCCCGAGGACCCCGACCAGCCGCCCGCTTCCGAGCCATCTCGCTCGGGCCAGACTCGCCTCGCGAGTGACGCACCACGGCGCGGACCGCAGCACGAGCTCGGGCCACGCCCCCAGGCGGGAAGAGGCATGGCTACGCCCCTGCCCTTTATAGGCCCAGCGCACGCTTCAGGAAGCAACTCCGCCCCAACGACCAGTGCACACCGCGGAAAGCAAGAAAGGGCAAAACAGATTTCTTTTCACTTCCGGTGCCTTGCGTCCTCGCGTTTCCGCAGCCTGGACGGGCTGGAGAGATCTCGCGAGAGGCGGGAAAGGGCGCAGGGTTTGAAACATGGCGGACGACGTGGACCAGGTGAGTGTCTGCTGAGGAGCTCGCTTCCCGGCGGCTTCCCTGCTTGGCTTTGCGTACCAGGGCGGCTTTCTCTAAGGTCACCGATCATGCCGACTCTCTCCGGGTCTCACGGGCTCAGGCCCTGAAGTCTTTTCTTTTAGAAGTCCGCCGGAAAACTTGTTACTGCGCTCGCTCGCTCGCCATTTCCTTTCTCTGAGTCTCACTTTTATCTACAGAATGGGGATAATGATCCTTGCCTGCCTCGCGGAGCTGTCCGGATTCTGATAGAAAGCGTGACAGTAAAGTTAAGGAATCTTATCGTTACTGAGCGCAACAATTATTACTCATTCAACAAATGCTTAGGGAACATCAGCTTTGTATGGCTAGACACCGTTCAACGCACCAGGGACACCAGCATTGACATACGTGATCACTGTTCCCACTTGGAGCTTGCATTGCGAGGGAGGACAGATAAAAAGTAAACATAGACGTGTGGGATGTATAGGAGCTGTGATGTGGTGAGAAGGAAACAAGCCAGGAGCGGTATGCAGCACTGATAACCCTGCAGGCTTTGTCCCCTGATCTTCCTTTTCCCCCAAAATACTCTTCCTGGGGTATCGATGTGGATCAGGCCACAATGTCTACCGACATCTCACCTCTCATCAAAGAGGACTTTTTGGCCACCTACATAAAAGAGCACTCTCCCAGTCTTTTTTTCTTCTTCATAGCATGTTATTTGTTCATATTAGTATAAGCTTTGTTTAATGTCTATCTCCTGCCCCCCCCTCGTCCACCCAGAAATGGATTTCTTTCTTTAAAAAAAAAAAATTGTTTTTCTTGATTTTTTTTTTACAGAGAGGAAGGGAGAGGGATAGAGAGTTAGAAACATCAATGAGAAAGAAACATTGATCAGCTGCCTCCTGCACACCCCCTGCTGGGGATGTGCCCACAATCAAGGTACATGCCCTTGACTGGAATCGAACCTGGGACCCTTCAGTCCGCAGGCTGATGCTCTATCCACTGAGCCAAACCAGTTAGGGCATAGAAATGGATTTCTTAAGAGCAGGAGTTTTGTTTTGTTCACTATTCTGTCTTCCCTGTTTAGAACAGCGCTGGAAACACTCAACACATTGATTGAATTGGGAGGCCTCATTGAAAAGGCAATATTTAAAGCTACAGAATGAAAAGGGTAGACTGCAGGCATCCCAGACTGAGGCTAAAGTAGGCTTCTGTCATCTGTGTATTCTTATCTCTCTATATAAAAGCCTAATATGCTAAGTGTCTGCAACCAATCCATCGACTGTTCTGTCAACTGCTTGGCCAGTTGCTATTACGCACACTGACCACCAGGGGGGTGGATGCTCTAACTGGTAGGTTAGCTTGCTGCTGGGGTCTGGCCCATGGGGACTGGGTGAGACGGGGCTGGATGAAATGGCCCCGATTGGCCCCGATCAATCGCCGGCCAGGCAGAGGGACCCTACCCGTGTATGAATTCTTGCACCAGGCCTATAGTAGTGTTTAATTACTTATATGCCTCTCTTGACTAGAATGAGCTTTTACAGGGCAGGTACTGACTTCTATATCATTATAATCTAGTTGGTTAGCTGTTTCTAAACAAACACCTTTTGAGCTCAGGATATTTTTTCTCCCCTCATCTAGCCTTTTCAGACTGTAGAGCCTGTAATGTTCAGTCACCTTCCAGTGGCCTCGTGTACTCACTGAAGAAGCTCTCCTTGAATAATTTTATCAACTCTTCTTCAGCCATCCCTTTCACATGGATGATCCCAAGTCATCATGGCCCCGATCTCTGAGACCTTTTCCAATGGTTCTTTAATAGAAACAATGACAACCATTTATCAGTACTTTCCGTTTGCCAGATACAATGTTAAATACATTAGCTAAATTTAAAAAATGTATATATATTTTTATTGATTTCAGAGAGGAAAGTACCTTCTGTTTGGCAGATACAATGTTAAATACATTAGCTAAATTTTAAGAATGTATATATATTTTTATTGATTTCAGAGAGGAAAGGAGAGGAGAGAGAGATAGAAACATCAATGAGAGAGAATCATTGGTTGACTGCCTCCTGCCCATCCCCCACTGGGTAATCGAGCCTGCAACCCAGGCATGTGCCCTGACCTGGAATCGAACTGTGACCTGGTTCATAGGTCGATGCTCAACTAGTGAGCCATGCTGGCTGGGCCATTAGCTCAATTTTTAAAAATGTGTTTTTATTGATTTTAGAGATCAAAGAAGGCAGAGGGGGAGAGAAAGAGAGAGAAATATCAATGTGAGAAACATCGATCAGCTGCACACACCGGGAATCAAACCTGCAACCTGGGCATGTACCCTGATGGAATCAAACTGGCGACCTTTCAGTGCATGGCATGATGCTCAACCAATTGTGCTATACCAGCTAGGGCTATACATTAGTTAATTTAATCCTCATAAGAGTCATAATGGGAAGATTGTGGCTTCCTTATTTTATAGACAAGGAAAAGGAAATAGAATTAGAGATGCTATAATCCCCCCCCCCCCAATTTTTATTTATTGACTTGAGAGAGAGAGACAGACAGACAGACAGACAGACATTTCACTTACTTTTACCTTCATTGGTTGATTCTTGTAGTGCCCTGACCCAAGGTTGAACCTGCAACCTTGGTGTATTGGGATAACACTCTAACCAACTGAGCACCTGGCCAGGGCTGAGATGGCATAATAATTTTTAATCTCAATTCATAAGTATCAGAGTCAGGAGTTGAACCCACACTGCCTGATTCCAAAGCCAGTGCTTTCAGCCAGTATTCTATACTATCTGCTGAGTGTATTGCTCTTATTGGCCATTTGGCACCCAAAAGTCAGCCTGCCCTATATGAACTTAGTCTTCTCTCAAACATTCATCTCTGCTTAGCATTCTGACTAGTGTGTAGTAGTCATTAAGGGAATGCTTTTCAAATTACTGTACTAAATGATATTTGAGATAAGGCTAATGTCCCTGAGAGTGACTCCTTATACCCTGAAATTGGGTCAGACAATTTGTACTGTGAAGGAACAGAGTACAGTTCTGATTATATTGCTAACTTCTTCCTGTGTATGTATGTTTCAGACCTCATTTGTATAGCGCTTTGTGCCAGGTACTGTTCTAAGCCTTCATATATGTCATGTAATCCTTGGTATTAGGTAGGCAATATTGTTATCCACATTTTACAGATTATGAGACTGAGACATAGAGGAGTTATGTTATTTGCCCACATCACACAACATGGCATTGATTTGAGTGCTGCATTCTCTCTAGTAATTGTTATTACTATGCCTGCTTCTTTTATCAGCAACAAACTACCAACACTGTAGAAGAGCCCCTGGATCTTATCAGGCTCAGCCTGGATGAGCGAATTTATGTGAAAATGAGAAATGACAGAGAGCTTAGAGGTAGATTACATGTAAGTAATCATATTATTTCCTTGTCATCCCTCCCTACCCTAAACCCTTGAAATGTAAAAACTGTCCACTGTAGAGGAATCTTTTGAATGTAGAGGAGAGCGAGGTGGAAGGCCTCATAAGTCAAATACAACTGTATGTATTTCATAAGTCAAATACAACTGTATTTTATTCATATTTTTAACATTTTTTTTCTCTTAACAGAAATGTGTTTATTAAAGAACATGTTCATTTCTTTCATTTTGTCTCTTCTGTTTACTTGCAAATAACATTTCTCCATTCATACTTAAATGTTCTTTAAATTATTGACATATACATAAATTTGTGTTTTCTTGTGAAAAAAATTAAAACAACACATACATAGAGTAAAAGGTGAAATCCCATTTCTTCATTTGGTAACCATTATTTATTTTTTTAATATATTTTATTGATTTTTTCACAGAGAGGAAGGGAGAGGGATAGAGAGTTAGAAACATCGATGAGCTGCCTCCTGCACACCCCCTACTGGGGATGTGCCAGCAACCAAGGTACATGCCCTTGACTGGAATCGAACCTGGGACCCTTTTGTCCGCAGGCCGACGCTCTATCCACTGAGCCAAACTGGTTAGGGCTGGTAACCATTATTAAAAATTAAAAATTGAGTCTATAGATCTTTCCATGTATATCCTATATAATAAAAGGCTAATATGCAAATTGACCGAATGACTGAATGACTGGTCGCTATGATGTGCACTGACCACCAGGGGGCAGACGCTCAATGCAGGAGCTACCCCCTGGTGGTCAGTGCACTCCCACAGGGAGTGGGCTTCAGCTGGCAGTCGGATATCCCCTGAGAGCTCCCGGATTGCAAGAGGGCTCAGGCTGCACTGAGGGACCCCCCCCCCCCCAGTGCACTAATTTCATGCACTGGGCTTCTAGTATTTATATATATGTCCCTATGCATATATTTGCATATATATGTCCATATGTATATATGTGTGTGTGTGTATATGTATATATATGTATATACACACACATATATATGTATATATATACATATACATATATACACACACACACACATACCATTCCTAAAAAAATAAAAAATAAATGGGATCTTGCTACATAAATTTTTGAATGCCTTTCTATTTCACTTAATCTTTCTTGGAAATCATTGATCATGAGTACATATAAATCCTTTATTTTTTTTGTTTTTTCTTTTTGTTAACCCTCACCTGAGGATATTTTTCCCATTGATTTTTCTTTCTTTTTTAGAGAGAGTGGAAGGGAAGGAGGAAGGGAGGGGGGGTGAGAGAGAGAAACATGGATGTTAGAGAGACACATGGATTGGTTGCCTCCTGAACACACCCCGACCAGGCTGGGAACAAATCTACAACCCAGGTACGTGCCCTCAACCAGGAATCAAACCCTCGACCCTTTGGTGAGCCGGTGGACATGCTAACCATTGAACAACACCAACCAGGGCTAGTAAGATTATTTTTTATTTGCATACTAGAGGCCCGGTGCACAAATTTGTGCACGGCTGATCGGGCTGGGCTCGCTGCGGGGAGGGGCCCTGGGCGGTTGGCGGGTTGGCCCTGCGCCCTGGTAGAACTCCTGGTCAAGGGGACAATTTGCATATTACCCTTTTATTATATAGGAGGATAGAAGTTTGTGGTATAAGTATTATGTGTTACTTGTATGGAGCCATTTGCATATTGTAAGTCCTGTTCATTGTTCCTTAATTTATTAAATTTCTTTGTCCCTCACTCTCCCACTTCAGGCTTATGATCAACATTTAAATATGATATTGGGAGATGTGGAAGAAACTGTGACTACTATAGAAATTGATGAAGAAACATATGAAGAGATATATAAAGTAAGTCACGCAATTCTATTCATTGCTTTTAAAATGCCAATTATTCTTAACATTCAACAGCTTAACATTTGTTTATAGCAAGTCTATCATGTTTTGACTCCTACTCATGGGCTCAGTAGAGCATAGCAATTAAAAGCAAAGTCTTTGGGGTCAAACAGACCTGGTTTTCAATATTGGTTTGGCCACTTCATACAGGGGTGCGTTGGGCAAGGGAATTAACTTTGCAAGCTTAATTTCCTCATTGGTAAGCAGGAATACTATGATTCATTACGATATGACAACGTAAGAAACCTGTGTGCACTGTTATATGGCAGTTATACTAGATAATGCTTTTTTTGTTTGATATGGACTTGATCTATCAATACTTAATAGAGAAACTTGTAAATTTAAACAATATTTATTAACTCATTAAAAATAATAAGCTTATTATGTTAATATAAGTAACATTTTTATGACTATTTTCTTAAATACTATTTAGAGAGAAGTGTCTTTGTTCCACATTTTTGCAAATGTCTTTATTGCGTGCTTAATTAATTACATCTAGCTTCTCCCAACTTTTTTCTGCATTTAATGTGTTGTGATATATTATAATTGAAGAAAATCTGACCTCTCACAGTTGGAAAAGGGAGGGGGTATTTTTTGTGGTTATTTGCCTTTGATGCTATACCCAAAGTCAAGAATACTGGTTTCTTAAATGTTAGTTGCAGTGTGTAATCTGAAACCATGTTCATGAACTTTCATACTCTTGTTATATGCAAATTAATTGGTCTACCTTGCACTTGGAGTGAATCTTTTACACATGCATGATTTTATTACATCAACTACTGGTAATTTGGAAAATATTAGTTCACTGAGTTATGCAGCTCTTCCAAATGTTGGCACATTTCATTCTTCAAATATAAGAAAAGAAAATCCCATTTGTTTTTAAGTATTGGGAAGCCGGTCTTTAGCTCTCTTGGAGCATAGCGGTTTACATCTGGATCCAAACCTTGACTCCCTTGCTTACCAGTGATATAGTTGTACCAAATTATCCACCTGTCTGTGGCTAAGTTTCCTTGTCTGTAAAGTGGGGATAGTAGTAGGATCCAGTTAATACAGCTGTTGGATTCACAGAGAGGTTACTTGAAGAGCCTTCAGATTAGCAACAGGTATATAGTAAGTGTTCAAATGTTAGCCTTTGTTGGTAGTTTTGCTTTATCATGGCTTTTTTCTTCTCTTCAACCACTCCTGACTCTGGTGCTAGTTTAATTTCTTTCTCTCTCTGAACATGGGCTTTATTTTTTTTAATCTGCATTTTTTCCCCTCAGACATGTCATTAGTAACTATTGTATGTTATCAGCCACGAGTCTATGACAGTAATCAGAACAGCATAAAAGCTTGGGGTCTTATTAGATCCAGGTTGAAATCCTGGCTACTGCTGCTGTTGCTGATTGACTTTGGGAAAATTATAGAAACTTTCTAGGCCTCCGGGCCCCCCTCTGTTTTTTCTTTTTTTTCCTCTTAAATAATAGTTTATTGATTTGGTAGATAGGAAGGGAGGCGAGAAATATCCATCGGCTGCTTCCTGCACGCCCCCTACTGGGGATTGAGTCTGCAACTTGCAACCAGGACATTGTGCCCTATTTGGGAATCAAACCGGCAAATCTTTTGGTGCATTGGACAACCCAACCAACTGAGCCACACCAGCCAGGGTGGGAACCCCCTCTGTAAAATGCCAATACCTGTGTTTGCCTCCCAGGATTATAATAGGATGCACTGAATTTGGTGCATGGAAAGCTGGTGGCATGTTGTAATAGGATATGATTATGTATAAATCCATCTTCAGTTTCCTTCCTTTTCTGAGTTTCACTCTCATTTCCAACATTCTTATTGAAAAATTTTCCACTTTGGATGTTATCTTAAATCTAGTACATCTAAAACTAAACTCTTGGTGTTTTTTACCTTCAAAAATTCCCTATTTCTGTTTATGATTTTTCTGTTATTTAGACCATAAATCTGGTTACTTCCAGTCAGTTCTGTGATCCAGTATCCCCAGTCACTGTTTTTTTTTCCTAGACATAACTTGTAGATGCCTTTATTTATTTACTTCTCACCTGTATTCCTGTCCCTCAAATTAATGTTCACTACTTTGAGGCCACTTGCTAAAGTGAGATTAGGTGGGAAGCAATACCATTAATCTGATCTTTGTCTAGAGTAGAGTTTTTTGGTTGTTGGTTGTTTTTTTTTTCCCTTTAATATATGTTTATTGATCTCAGAGAGGAAGGGAGAGGGAGAGAGATATAGGAACATCAATGTTGAAAGAGAATCATTGATTGGCTGCCTCCTGCATGCTCCACACTGGGGATCAAGCCTGCAACCAGGGCATGTGCCCTGACCAGGAATCAAACTGCGACCTCCTGGTTCATAGGTTGACACTCAACCACTGAGCCACACCAGTCGGGTAGGGCTGAGTTTGTTTAACTGAGAAGTTTTACTGGGCTTTGTTCCTCAAAGCTTTTTTTCCTACTTATGTCTACAGTTTGAGGTTTAAAAACAATTGGCTTTTCTAACCCTTTGTGTCCTATTTCTTACAATCTCTGCTTGAAAACCAGCTACTTCTTTTCTGAGCTCATCTCTTTCTTATACTCCTTGCTGAGTGCATCAGGTTAACAGCAACACCTACCAACATTTGACTTTTCCAATCTCTTCCCCTAGAACAGGGGTGGGCAAACTTTTTGACTCGAGGGCCACAATGGGTTCTTAAACTGGACCGGAGGGCCGGAACAAAAGCATGGATCGAGTGTTTTTGTGAACTAATATAAATTAAAAGTAAACATCATTACATAAAAGGGTACGGTCTCTTTTTTTTTTTAGTTTTATTCATTTCAAACGGGCTGGATCCGGCCCGCGGGCCGTAGTTTGCCCATGGCTGCCCTAGAACCTATAGGTTTGGGAGGTCCTTGGACTACTTTCCAAGTCATTGCAGGCAATCTTACCATGTGTTTCCCAAGGCATAAGAGGATTTCAGACATTCCATATCTGTTTCATTACTGCCTAAGGCTTGACACCTAGGCAAACAAACACCCCAAGGTATCCATTTCATATGTTTGAGTGCGGTAACAACATGTAATGCACAATAGAATTTTATTTCTCCCCTCATAACCATCCTGAGTGAAGTTTTAGGTCAGTACAATAGCTTTCTTCCAGATGCTCAGTCAGGGGCTCAGGCTTCCTTTATCTTAGGGTTCTGCCATCCCATGGATTCTCCAGCAGTGGGAGGAAGACCATAGAAGGAAATACATGGGAGGCCTATGGATCACTCAGTCACTGCTGTTTACTTCTCGTTGGTTAAAACTCAATTTCATGGCTATACCTGGTTGCAAGGGAGTATGAGAAATATAGCTGTGTGCAAGGGAGTTTGAGAAATATAGCTATGTGCCCGCTGTGTGCCTGAGTGTAGCTGTGTGCCAGAAGAGGGGAATGGATATTGGTGGATAGTGCCGTCTCTGCCCCAGTTATTGATATCCAGGAAAAGTAAACAGTAAACAGATAGTTTTTCTTTGTACTACAAAGGTAAGTAATCAGGTTTTTTAATCAGTTTATTTGTGTTATAATGAATCTCTGTGTGTTTTCAAATTTCTCTTGTGAAAAACAACAACAAATAAACAATACTACTACATATTTGTGTAAATGTGTTTTTTGTTTTTTTGTTTTTTTCTTCTTCTTCCAGTCAACAAAACGGAATATTCCAATGCTTTTTGTCCGGGGAGATGGTGTTGTCCTAGTTGCCCCTCCATTGAGAGTTGGTTGAAACAAAGAATATATCCTGTGTGGAAATTAGGAGACTTTATATGATTGCGTCTTTAAAGGTAGAAGATATTCAAAAGAGAAACCTGCGTAAATTTTGATATTAAGAAATGACCAAGGATTCTTCTGCTCCTGAAATGAGTTTATTTGCACATAACTCTCAAATTCTAAAGCTAAATGGCATTTTTATTTTTCTCCAACCCTTCCAATAAATGTGATCACAAAAACGCAGCCCTCTTTTTTAGGAGTTGATTTGCTCCATTGTTTTTTCCAGATAATTTCTGATTTTTTTAATTTAAATTAAATTTGATGTTTTCTCTTTTTTTTTAATGCTGTCTCCTGTCTTTTGAATTCTTTAAAGTAAGCACATGTCTTATATTCACTGTATTTATACATACCTATGTTTGAGGTTTCAGGCTGAGTACTATCAATATGCTTCTTTCCCTCCAATTTTCTGAGAAGGCAGTTGTTTAAATCAATAATTGCAGGACAGTGAGATTATTGCTGATAGAATAATGCATATATAGGATCCATAAGACACGGAGAACAGTACCCAAATCAGAAGGGAGTGGGTGGGGGGAGGTGATGTGTCACTAAATACTAACATTGCAGTGAAGGATCAGCATGTTACTTCTATCTGGCCTGATTTATTTCTAAGGTTTAGCGTCAGTGGTTATATGCCTTTGTGGTTCAGCTTGATCATATCTACCAATGCTACACATATTTTATGACTCAAACCATTTTTCCATTCTTGGATCACAGGCGATTGATGAGAGGGCTAAAACAACCTCAGTGGCACAATAAAACAAAGAGGTTAAAAAGCAAAGCTATTTCTAGCTTCAGTCAGTTAGCACTTATGCTCAAAAGATAAAGAGGAAAGTTAATGTATGTGTAACAATTTTTAAAACTTTATTAAGACAGGGCATAAAACCTGACATCTTTAAGTAGGTTGTACCATTTTGAAATAATAGACAATTTCATATGTGGGTGATCTGTCTATAAATATGATGGTGTTAATCCAGTATCAGGCACGATGTGCTAATATGCACAATATTTTAAGCCATGTGCAAGAAAGATGCTTTCGGTAGTCATAAGTAGGAAGGTTTCGTGTTCATTATTTATTGTACCTGACCCTGAAAGTTAATGGAGAAGGGAAAAAAGAACAAGTGTGGGCGGGCGAGCTGATGGGGTTTTATCTAATATAAGTAGACAGAGAACTTCCTTTCACTTCTGCTACCTCCATACTTTGTCCTTAGGTTTATTAGTCCCAGAAGGTCAGTGACCTGTTTATAGCAACCTGTTCACTATTGAAAAAATGAGACTTGTGATTCTGGTGGTAGCAAGTAGCCCATCCTTTGGATCACCGTTTCTGAGTAGGACTCTTGCCTAAATGATGATGATGATACATAATAAATACCATCGTTTGTTGAACAAAGTGCACCAGGCACAAGCAGTTTGTATACAACATATTCCTATTCTTTACAACTCTTTCCTACAGAAATGTTACAATAAATGGTCACACAGCTGTACAAGGCAGTAGGATGTGAATCTATCAGACTCCTATATATATGTGAGGTGTAGGTGTGCTATGGAGACCCTCGCTCTGGGTAGTAATGTGGCTCCTGATGTCCACCATAGCCATGGCCTGACTCGTCATCTGGCCCTCTTGCTCTGCCACACCCTCCTGTTCTCTCCAGCATTGCATTTATTTTTAGTGGCTTCTGATAGCCATGCTTAGTTCCTGAACACTTGTTCTACTCCAATCTTGGTCATCTTTCTCCTTTTTCTCCTAGAATTGATAGATTACACTAGAACTTTTGGCTGTGAGGACTGTTACTTACACACGTTTCTTAAAACCAAGAATCTTAAAATTTAGCATAGTTGCCTTCATGTACATATAAAATTCAACTGCAGTGTACAAACATCCACTTACCTCTTGGCTGCTAAGATACAAGGAGAGGGGCAATCAAAGATTAACTGTAGGAAAACCATCTGTGTGCTACTAGTAGAGGGGAGGCAGTGGGTTCTGTGAGCCCTTTTGGAGCTCAGGCTACCTTCCTGGAGGGTTGGAGCTGGGACTTGGTCCACAACGGGGGCAGCTTAAGCAGCCTCCTGCCACAGTCCTCCATATCAAGGCATGCTCTGCAGGTCTGTAGGGGTCTTGCCTTCAGGGATTAAGCAGTCAGAGGGTCCCTGAGAACCATGGGTTGGACTTCTAAGCTCCACAGTACCGAATTCTGGACATCTGGATAGCCCATGGTCATAGGAGTTGGTGACCAGTGGTTTCTGCAACACAGTGTCACATGTCACAAGAGGAGCCATTTGACCATCTTTCATTTGGAAGGCTCTCAAGCTGATGCCAAAGAAAGATGCACAGACAAAATGTAGGACCACACGTTCATCTTTGAGATGAAATGTGCCCAAATTGAAACTCAAGTATTTTGAGCATCCCAAGTTAGACTAAAATCATTAGCTACAGATAGACTATTTTCACAAATTTCAGATAGTGATTTTTGAATATCTTCCCAAACTAGAAGTATCTTCTGCACATGATGAAACTGTTTTTACACACCTGTTATTACATGCTAGAGGCCCTGTGCATGAAATTTGTGCACTGGGGGCGGGGGGGCGGCGGTCCCTCAACCCAGCTTGTGCCCTCTTGCAGTCCGGGAGCTCTCAGGGGATGTCTGACTGATGGCTTAGGCCCGCAGGGAGTGAGCCTAAGCCAGCAGTTGGAAATCCTTAGTGCTGCCAAGGAGGTGGAAGAGGGGCTCCCGTCACCACTGCTGCACTCGCCAGCCATGAGCCTGGCTCAGGGCTTTTGGCTAAGCAGTGCTCCCCCTGTGGGAGTGCACTGATCACCAGGGGGCAGGTCCTGAGCGTCTGCCTCCTAGTGGTCAGTGTGCGTCATAGTGACTGGTCGTTCTGCTGTTTGGTCGATTTGCATATTAGTAAATTGCATATTTTGTGCATAGAGGCCCAATGCACAAAATTTGTGCAAGGGGCTTGGCCCTTGCAACCCAGCTGCCTCAGCCGGCCCTCCCAGCCCTTGCTGGCCCTTGCAGCCCTGGCCAGCCCTTGCAGCCCTGGCTGCCTCTGCCGGCCCTCGCAGCCTCAGCTAGCCCTTGCAGCCCCTTGCAGCCTTGGCTGGCCCTCACAGCCCCGGCTTCGTCCGTAAGGTTTTTTTCATATAGCTCTTTATTATATAGGATAATATCTACCTATATTGCTCACATTGCTTTCAGCCTGCAGTCAGAAGAGGAATGTTCTATTGCAGTGATGGCGAACCTTTTGAGCTCGGCATGTCAGCATTTTGAAAAACCCTAACTTAACTCTGGTGCCGTGTCACATATAGAAATTTTTTGATATTTGCAACCATAGTAAAATAAAGATGTATATTTTTGATATTTATTTCATATATTTAAATGCCATTTAACAAAGAAAAATCAACCAAAAAAATGAGTTCGCATGTCACCTCTGACACACGTGTCATAGGTTCGCCATCACTGTTCTATTGTGTGAGCATTTGCCAGCTAAGAGCAATGCTCACCTGCTTTGGACCAGGAAAGTAACTGAAAATCTGGGAATCATCCTGGCAGGATCAAGAGGCTTGATTGATGTTTCTGTAACTCAGCTGTGCTGAACTATGTGGGTCTCATTCTTGCCCAAGCTTGGTAGTAGATTTACAACCTAACTGCCTGCAAACTGCAGTGGTCTCATTGTTCTCAATTGGTTCATGTGCCAGTTCATGTCTAGTCATGGCCATGTGAATGTAGGGCTCTTATTGGCCAGGCCTGAGCCATATGCCCACCTGGAACTAAGAGTAAGATTATTTCCATTGAGCCATATGGTCTGAGTTTGGAGAGGGGCAGTTCCCCAAAGGGAAACCAGGGGAAATAATGGATGCAAGCTGGAGACAAAGAATGCCTACTATGAAAGGCTAACTTGTAGTCTCCTCTAATTTATAGAAAATAAACCCCTTTGGGATTTGATTATTAGTAACGAGTTTCTTGGAATATGCCTCATAGTGAAAGTTATGATTTAAAGCCATTGCTCTGGAATCTAGTAGGAGGCCCTGGAACACCCCGAGGAGGGAATCAGTGTGGATGGAGCTTAGATTTGTTTGATGACTGAATCTGATGGTAGCTGGGGTCCTCTAAGGGTAGGGGTGGGGGACCTGTAACATAGGAGGGTGTTAGACTGAGAGTAGGTATTGGGGTCCTCAGAGCTCTTGAGTAGGGTAGGATACTTGCATGATGTGAATAACACAACTCCACCAGGGACAGTATTCACAGGGCCTGGCCAAGAGTTTGTCCTCAGTAAATGTTGGATGACTGAGTAATTAAGCCTTAAGAAAAGCAGCAACAACACTGTGGATGTAAGGGGCAAATGGTACTTTTTTCTTCAGCTTTATTGAAGTATAATTGACAACATTGTAAGATATTTAAAGTATACATTGTAATGATTTGATACACATTGTGAAAGGATTCTCACCATCTAGTTAATGCATCCATAACACATATTTATCTTTTTGTGTGTGTGAGAACATTGATGTTCTCGGCAAATGGCAACTATATAAAATAGTGTTATCAACTAAAGTCACCATGTTTTTTACATTAGATCCTCAGGTATTATAAATATTATACTTGAAGGTTTGTACCCTTTTACTGTCCTCTTCCTATCCCCCCTTTTCTACTCTGTTTCTAAGTTTGACTTTCTTTTAAAGAAATCAGATTCCACATATAAGTGACACCATACAGTATTGATCTCTGTCTGGCTTATTTTACTTAGCATAATGCCCTTAGGGTCCATCTATGTTGTTGCAGACGGCAGGATTTCCTTCTTGCTCATGGCTGAATAATACTCTATTGTGTACATTAGTAACTTCGTTATCCATTCAAGGTAAATGGTACAGTCAAAGGTGAACTTTGCACATTGTTTTCCAGGTACTTGTAATGGTCCTCCCACAACTGGACGATGCTTCCCATATTTTTTGCCTTTCTAACTGTTGTCCTCATTACCGTATATACTTGAGAATAGCAGTATATGCCAAATGTAGATAACTAGTTACCAATACACATGGAAAAGTAACACCAAGAAATGAGGAAGCCAAGGTCAAGTGTTTTAAATTCCTTTTAGATCCATTGCTCAATTTTAATACCTGGAGCATGTGCATTCTTATTTTCTTGGCTGCTTCTAGAGGCTTCCTGGATGTGGAAGCAACATGCCCCTCTGTGGTTTCTGATATTGTTTACTCTAGAGCAGTGGTTCTCAACCTTCCGGCCCTTTAAATACAGTTCCTCATGTTGTGACCCAACCATAAAATTATT